TAGGAAAAATCATATTCACTATGGCTTCAAAACAATCTAGAAATAAACCGAACCAAGGAGGGCAAAGAACTCTACAATGAAAACTTGAAAACTCTAAGAAAAAAGTTAAGAACGCACCTCCATGCTCATGGATTGGGAGAGTTAATATTTTGAAAATGTCTATATTATTAAAGGCAATCTACAGATTCAATTCAATCTCCATCAAAATTCCAATGACATTCTTCACAGAACTGGCTAAAACAATCTTAAAATCCACACAGAAGTACTAAAGACCTCTAAGAGCAAAAGCAATTCCAAAGAGAAAGAACATAAAGAATAATGTATAGAGAACATAAATCGCAATACCTGATTTCAAATTATACCTCTGAGCATAGTAACAAAAGCAGCATGATACTAGTACAAAAATAGACAGTTAGACTGATGGAATAGAATAGCAGACCCAGAAATAAACCCACCTTACTTACAATAAAGGTGTCAAAGAAAAAAGGTCTCCTCCATAATAGATGCCCTAGGAAAACTGGAAATCTATCCATTGAAAAGTGAAAAAGAGATTCTTATCATTCACCCCGTAAAAGGTCATTTCAAAATAGATTAAATACCCTCGTGTAAGACCTGACACCTGGAAAGTGATGCAGAAACACATGGGAAACACTTGAGATACAGGCAGAGAACTGTACTTTCTAAGGGTCCCAGTAGCACAAGAAATAACACATGGGACTTCAAGAAATCAAAGGCTTTTGTAGGGACTGGAGAGATGGCTCTGGGGTTGAGAACATTGACTGCCCTTGCAGATGGGCCAAGTTCTGTTCCCAGCATCCCCAGGCAGCTCACGACGCTCTCTAACTTCAGCTCCGGGGGATGTAATGTCTCTTCTGACCTCCTCCGGCTTCAAAGCGCAGGTGTTGCACACACAGGCACATACACACGTAAAATAAATTTAAAAACATCTGTATAGCAAGGAAAATGATTAATCAAGTAAAAATACAGTTTACAAACAGGTGAAAAATCTTTCCTAACTATTATCTGACTTAGTTAGGGTTTTTTTTTTTTTTTTTTAAGATTTATTTAGTTTATGTATATGAGTGTTCTATCTGCATTCACACCTGCCAGAAGAGGGCATCAGTTCACATTATAGATGGCTGTGAGCCACCATGTGGTTGCTGGGAATTGAACTCATGACCTTTGGAAGAGCAGACAGTGCTCTTAACCACTGAGCCATCTCTCCAGCCCTTAGTTAGGGATTTTATTGCTGTTATAAAATACCATAACCAAAAGCAATTTGTCTATAAAAAGGCTTTATTTCATCGTAAAAACTCTCAGGCCACACTCCATTACTGAAGGAATTCAGGGCAGAAACCTGGAGGAAGTCATGGAGAAATGTGCTTCCTGGCTTGTTCCCCAGGGCATTACACAAGCCAGGACCACCCAGGGGTGGTTCCCCCTTCGGGGCCAGGCTCTCCTCCATCAACCATCCACAGGCCAGTCTCATGGAAGCATTATCTCAGTTAAGGTTCCCTCCCCTGAGGCAACTCCAGCTTGTGAGAAGTTCACAAAAAACTAGCTAACATAGTATCTTACAGAGAATTAATGCCTGAAATATATAAAGAATTAAAAAACTAAACACCATAAAACCAACCTAAAAAATGATGGAATAATAAAATAAACAAGACAGCTCTCAAAAGATAAATTCAGACGGATGGACAATAAATATATTTAAAAATCTTCAACATCCCTAGATATGAAGAAAAATGATATCAGGAGCAGAAGGTTGTCTCAGTGGATAAAATGCTTGTCATGTGTGCCTTGACCGTCTGAGGTTAGTCCCCAGAACCCTCTAAATGTAGAAGGAGGAAGCAACTCCACAAAGTTCTCTAACCTACACACACACACACACACACACACACACGCACACGCACACGCACATATGTGTATACATACACATGAACATACACACACACAATATACATGACATACATGTCTGAACATGTCATAATGAAACCTTTTATATATATATATATATAAAATAACAACAAAAATTCTTACTCTACAGTCCACTGAGTATACACACTTCTGGGCAAGGTGGGAGCCTCCCCTCCTGCTTTTCTCTCCAGTAAGAAGCTACCCTCCCTGACAACCTGATTACCTGGGTTTACACAAGATCTAGTTCTTAAGTACTCAAACAGCTCAAAAATGTGCAAGAAGTAGGAAGGTTTCTTCTTTAAAAAGAAAAAAATTTTGGCTGAAGTAATAATTATGTGAAACAAGACAAGTGAGAGGAAGGGAGCCCTGGCCAGGCTCTAATCAGTCACATCACGAGGGACAACAGTGACGATTACTCAGATCTCACAAGTTAACCAAAAAGCATGTAGATTACCAACGCTGCTTGAACTACAGCTCTGCACATTGGGAATGAGAAATCTGACCCTAAATACAAACTGAGATAGTCCCTAATGTGAGAGGAGACTCTGTGAAGTGTCCCCACTTACAGTGTCTTCACCGCGTTTAACTGACACTTAAACACACGCTCCGTCATGAGCGTCACGCTCGGGTGCTATAATGGAGGCACGAGATTGCATTAAGTGCACATACACCTGTCAGGAGGTCACCCTCAACGCTGCTTGCTGCCGACAGCGGGGGACAGAAGGAGCTTGGGCGCCACTTCAACCCAGTCAATGAGCCCTGGCCAAACCCTCCCAGTCTTGCGAGGGACCTTTTTTGCCTCGCATCCTCAGCAAAAGAAAGAAACCCATTTAAAAGAAGAGGTGGCAAAGCAATCCTAAGCAAAAAGAATACAGCCGGAGGAATCCCATCACCTGACTTGAAAACATAGATTCCTAAGTAACAGTTATCTAAACAGCCTGACACTGTTGTATACACAGTGACCAACGGGCTGTAAGGGGAACCCAGAAATAAAGAGCACAGCAAATGATTTCTAACAAAAGGGATGCCGAGGACATACCTTTTTTGTTTGTTTGTAGGTTTGTTTGTTTGGTTGGTTTGGTTTAGTTTGTTTTTGTTTTTTGGTTTTTGGTTTTGTTTTTGTTTTTGTTTTTGCTTTTTTGAGACAGCGTCTATGTGTAGCCCTAGCTGTAATAATTATGTGTAGACCAGGCTGGGATTAAAGGCATGCACCACCACCACCTGGTTCTTTTTTTTTTTTTTTTTTTTTAATTTATCTAATTTTATTTTATGTGCATTACTGTGAAGGTGTCAGATCCCTCGGAATTGGCAGTATAGACAACTGTGAGCTGCCATGTGGGTGCTAGGAATTGAACCCGGGTCCTTTGGAAGAACAGACAGTGCTCTTAACCACTGAGCCATCTCCCCAGCCCCAGCACTTGGCTCATATCAATAGATTGGGGATGTAGATTAATGGTAAAATGTTTGCCTAACATGTGAAAAGCCCTGGATTCAATGCCCAGCCCAATAAAGAAAAACTCAAAATGGAGTCAAGGCTTAAATGTAAAACCCCCAAATCATAAAATCATATATATATATATAAATTGGTTTTATATATATATATGTATATATATATATATACATACATATACACACACACATACATACATACATATGGCAAACGTTCTAGGGCAGTAGTCTGGGCAAGTGTTTTTTGTTAAGCAGAGAAATAAAAGCACAAGCAACAAAAACAAAAAAACAAAAGGTTTGACATCCCAATGAAAGCGTCTGCACAGCCAAAAGAGACAATTGACAGAGAGAAGACACAACTTACAGAATGGACCTCTGTAAACTATCACACCAACAAGGGGTTAACAGCGGAACATGCAAAGATTCAAAAACAGTAACAAATACTGGCCAATCAAAAGTGGGTCAAAGAGCTGGGAATATAGCTCTTTTGTAGAATGCTTGCCTAGCGTGCACAAGGCCCTGGGTTCAATCCCAGCACCACCAGAGAGAGAGAGAGGAAGAGAGAGAGAGAGAGAGGGAGAGAGAGAAATTAATTAATAAATGAATAATAAATAGAAGTGTTACATTGCCACTATAGGATTTATAGCCAAGGTCTATGAATTTCTATATTAAAAATACCTGTATTGCTGTGTTTGCTCTAACTCTATTCACAACAGCAAAGGTGTGGAATCAGTTGAACTGTCCACTAGCAAGTGCGGCGCACACGCACACATTTGCACACATGCACAGGATGGGGTGACTAATCAGCTATAAAAAGGAGTGAAATCCTGTCATCTGGGCAACATAGATGGACCCCAGGATCATAATATTCAGTGAACTAAGCCAAGTAAGAAAGATAAATGCTGCATTTTCCACTCCTCCAAAAATGCTGAGCTCACAGAAGTCAAAAATAGAAGAGTGGTCCAGAGTCTGGGAAGGGACCCAGTCACTGGGGGGAGGGGGTGGAGATAAAACGATACTGGCTAATGGATACAAATTCTCAGCAAGAAAGGAAAAGGTTCTGGCATTCTACTACACAATATTTATAGCAGTGTTGTATAATTCAAAGTAGCTAGAAGAGATTTTTAAATGTCTTTTTTGCATTTATTATTATTATTATCATTTATTACAATTTATTCACTTTGTATCCTGGCTGTGGCCCCCTCACTCATCTCCTCCCAATTCCACCCTCCCTCCCTCTTCTCCCCGTATGTCCCTCCCCTAGTCCACTGATAGGGGAGATCCTCTTCCCCTTCTACTTGAACCTAGCCTATTAGGTCTCATCAGGACTGGCTGCATTGTCTTCCTCTGTGGGCCTGGCAAGGCTGTACCCCTCCCCCAGGGGGAGGTGAGCAGAGAGCCAGCCACTGAGTTCATGTCAGAGACAGCCCCTGCTCCCCTTACTAGGGAACCCACTTGGAAAATGAGTCTATGGGCTACATCTGAGCAGGGGGTCTAGGTCCTCTCCAAGCATGGTCCTTGGTTGGGGTATCAGTCTCTGCAGGGTTCCCAGGGCACACGTTTTTTTGGCTCTGATGGTCTCCTTTTGGAGCTTCTGTCCCCTCCAGATCTTTCTACCTTCCCCTTCTTTCATAAAATTCAAAAATTTCACAAATTTCCCTGTCATCCTTGTGCAGGGGCCATGCTAATCTTCTCTGTATCGTTCCAATTTTAGCATATGTGCTGCCAAAGCAAGCACTGAATTTCTTATCACAAAGAAAGAAGCCATTAAAAAAATATAACTATCAGGGCTGGAGAGATGGGTCAGTGGTGAAGAGCACTGTCTGCTCTTCCAGAGGTCCTGAGTTCATTTCCAGCAGCCACATGGTGGCTCACACCATCTATACTGGAACCTGATGCCCTCTTCTGTCATGCAGGTGTACATGAAAATAGAGTACTCATAAATTAATTAAAAATCTAAAAAAACTAAAACATAAATATCCTGCTAGATCAAATGCACCCCATATTTATCCAAACAAAGTTATAGCCAACACTGCAAAAGGAGGCAAAATCTGGGCAATGGTTACTTCACAACTCTGTCAAAGACATGCTAGCTTAACTGGACTTTTATCCTGTTGAAGCCATAAGGACCCCAGCCGAACTTCAGCTCTGTGACGCCCTGAAATGTGCAGGGACTAAAGACACATCAGTCCTCCGGCCTCTGCCCCACACAGGAGAAGTAACGCTGTAGGAGCAGCTCATGTGCCCAGGGCAAGGTGGAGGATGGGTGAGATGGGGTAGAGTATTTCTCTGTAGATGATAGTTGTTTATTTTAAAGATTTGTTTAAATTATGTGTAAAGTGGCGTGGGCGTGTGCACATGAGGGCGGGTGCCGGTGACAATAGGAGGATCCAGCTGACCCTGAAACTGGGCGTGGGCGGCCCCTTGTAGGTGCGGGGTCCTGTGCAAGAGCTGTCCCGGCTCTAAAAGGCTGAGCTTCTCTTCAGCCCCAGTGTTAATTCTTTATCTTAATTATTTTCCCCAAAACTATTAATGTCTCATGCGGGTAGTTGGCATCTTTATGTAGTTTTAACAAACCTGGCTGTTAGCATGCTAAGTAAATGTAATATAGCTGGCCAGTTGACCCCTGGGGAGGTGGAGTTTCAGAGATGTTCTTTGGCTAAGGACAGCCTGGCTACACGGCCTTTAACACTCAGGGACAAAACTCCGCAGCTATTCCCAGCTTGAGCACAAATGAAAACATTGCAAAGCCTTTAAAATAGCTGCAGGGCTTGGACAAGCCCACCGCGGTCCTGGTGTATCATCCCTGGGTCCCAGGCTCTGGCGACGTCTTAAGAACTGATAGAAATCTAAGCACAGTGGGTCTTCCTGGGGGTTGAGGGCCTCTGCTACTCTGGGAGGCAAGGGCTGGCCACGAAGGCTGTTTGTTGCTTTTACGAGCTGTGCTCTCTGCTGAGCTGCTGTGGGAATCTTCGGGAAGTGTCCAGTTACCAGAGAGTGTGGGGTGCCTAGGGTGCAGGCATTGCCTGGCAGCGTCCGTCGGCCGAACTGTGCGGGTTTGGCGCCCCCTACTGTCTGTTTCCAGAGACGGACATCCGAACCCTGGAGGTTCACCGCTGGGTTGAGCCGGATCTTGCAGAAAGGCACATGGACCCTCAACAGTGTAGAGTCCACTAACCCGAAGTGAGCAGCATGGCTCTGAGTCTCTGCCTCCCAAGTCACCACCCAGCTCATCTGAAGCTTGAAAACGAGCAGGACCTAGGAAGAAGGCTCCAAACCTCTTAGGGCGACCAATCCTCTCTGGACACCTGTGTTCTGGGGGTGTCCCCCAAAGCTGAATTAGCTTTTGTACCAACCCTAGATGAGCCTGAACAGAAGAACCAAAGTGTCCAGACATTCTGTAAGGAACAGCCACTCAGCCTTGGGGACCCCAGAAATGGCAAGAAGGGATACAGACTACAGACTGGGTCCCTGTTTTCCAGGAACTTTCCATCTAGAGAAAGAAGAGAGACACAGACAGACACAGAGAGAGACAGGGAGACAGGGAGACAGAGAGAGAAGGAGGAAACGGCCAGTGGTATTTGCTATCATTTATTGAACCCAGAAATTTGCCATTATCTCCAAGACAGCAATGATATAGGCCAAAAACTGCACCTGTAGAGAGGGGTAGGCCGAGGTCCACAGAGACCGGAGAGCACAATGAAGAGCAGAAGCCCCCAGTCTCCAGCCTGGACTGACTCCAAGCCTACACTGTCCACTCACATTGTCCTGTTGTGCAGACGAAAGGTGGACAGAGAGGACACCCACCTACGACAGTGGCCACCCGAAGGGTGAGAGGCTGGTGAGCGAGCCATGTGGGAAACGGGGTACAACAGGATGGCTGTGCAAATGCTTTACCTCTCCTCTCTTAAAAACAAACAAGAGTCCAGGCTGAAGACATGACTCAGTCTTTAAGAACGCTTGCTGCTCTTCCCGAGGACCAGAGCTGTCTTCTCCACACTGGCCAGCTCGCAGCCTGCTCGAACTCCAGCTCCAAGGAGGCCCACACTCGCTTCTGGCCCCTGCAAGTACCAGTGCATGGAATTCTGCGTGTGTGTGTGTGTGTGCGCGCACACAGATGCACACATTTGAAATTTAATTGTGAAAAAGAAATTTTGTAAGGCCAAACACACTGGCGGAAGACACAGCTAGCAAAACTGTTTTAAGGGCCGAGGAGAGAGCCTTTGTCCAGTAGTCCCCTGGCCCTGGGTTTACTTCGAAGCTCCCTCCCTTGCTCTCCCTCCCTTGCCCTCCCTCCCTCCCTCCCTCTCTAAAACTCCAGTGAAATGGCGATTGTGAAAGTGTTGGCACTTGCTCGCCTTGGGTTGTATGGTAACATGACTCTTCACTATTTCATTTTGTTTTCTGTGTTGCTCTGTATTTTGAATTTTTCCTAAGTGATATTTCCAGAGAAGAAAATGGGGAGAAGATGAGTGTCTTCATGTGACATCATGATACCAACACACCTGCTCAGACATCACAGAGCTTCACCAGCCCAGCCTCACTTAGCATGAGCAACTCTTAACTCCCACGGTGGCTTTTGTCTGGGGACTTCGGAGCACTTGATAGACACAAACTAATTGCACTGCCTTCCACCTCCTAAAAGACACTAGAGACCTTATAGATTGGTAGAGAGAACACGCCTGGTCTGACCTCGCACCAGCACTTACAGGCTGAGCTGAGAATGTACCTCAGAGAGAGCTGAGACAGCATCTCCCCGGCGCTGGGCTGGGCCAGCTTCAGGATGCAGTGTGGCAGCCTCCTCACATCAAGCCCCATCTGAAGATCTTCAGGAACAGCCATGTGGCCTTTTATTTTACACGCCCAGCCAGGTTTATGAAAATGCTGGGCTTACGGCGGCATAAAACAGCCATCCCTCCGTAGCCACCTCGGGATGAGATCAGGAAGAGGAGGCCACCTATTTGCCTGAGGCCACTGCTGGGGATTTGTGGGGAGTCAGGTCAGAGGTCCCCTAATCCATGGCCCCACAGTGTCTGTGGGCCCTGGTCGTGCAGTCATAGAATGGATCTCCTTAAATTCTTATCTACCCACCTGTGACATCAAGACTAGGGACCTGCTGAGGACTGTGAGTTCTGATTGTTCTCACTCACCTCTGTTCCCAGTCTCACATCCACAGCTCCTGACAACCCTAATTTTATTATATCCCACACTGAATAGTGTCCCCTTCCTGCCCCTCACACTTCCCACACCCCATGGCTGGAGGGTAAAGTCTGAGATCTTTTGCATGTGGCAGGAGGCTACTGGTTCAGACAGATTTCTCCTCCCTCCCTCTCTCTCTCTCTTTCTCTCTCTCTCTGTCCTTTGATAGTACAGGCTGGGCAAGTTATAAGAGAGGTTACCATTGGCAGATGGTTGGTCCAAAGTGAAGGGCCACATCTGGTGATGGCTTGCTTGCTGAAGAGTTAGGAGGAGGCACAGGGCATCCCTAGCAGGGGACAGTGCATTCAGGGAACCTAGCAACTCACACCCAGCATAGTCCATTAACCTGTTTGTTGCATGTGACTATTCATTTACCCCAGAAGGTCCTGCCTCATGCTATTTCCTAATGCCTTATGAACTTTGTGGGGAAGGGAACCATATTCAAACTATGTTTCATGGGCAATTCATGATGTGACATCTGCAGATAGCTGAAAGGCATGTCTGCTGCTGGATTGTCAAGTCTAAACAAGATGAATGAGAAATGGACAATACAGGGGACTCAAACTGGAAAAAAAAAAAAAAAAGACCTCAGAAATGAACTGGAGAGAGCCAGGCTCTAAAATCCAGAGTTGGTTCTGGAAGGTAACTTCCTTTGTGCTTCCTGTGTCAAGGGCAGCCAGGTTCCAGAGATACCTCCACCTTCTCTGGTCCCGTGTAGGGCCTAAGGGGACTTGAGTGGCCATGTCAGAATGGCTCCTCAGGATAGACACACAGCAGCAGGCCATGCTGCGACACCTCTACAACGCAGGGTGAAAGAACACAGAGGCACCAAAATCATAGCAGTGTGAGGCAGTGTCGAGTCTGGCGGTGACAGTCTATGAGGCGGAGGGAGGATGGGACGGTCAGAAAGAGGGATGTTCATGGCCAGTAGTCCCTGGCCGTGAATTGTTCTACAGTAGACAGTGCAGACTCCTGGCTCTACGCCTGGGTATGTTTTGTCTCCGTCTTTTGCTCAAATGACTAATTCCACTATGAAACTATAGGTTACTCTACAATAAGAACCGAAGTTATATCCAGGTCTTAAAAGCTTGTAATCTTAGCAAAAATGTCACCACCTTCGATAGGAGATTAGTAGGGAAAGGGGATGTAGACCTCTTTCCTCTACTTCCTGCTGATTAGGGTCGATGGGTCCAGTACCACACTCAGTTGTCACGTTACCTGTCCAAAGGCCAACACCAAGCGGCAACATGAATCAGCATGACAAGTCAGCAAAAGCCACAAGACTCACTGGATTGCCCTGAGAAGTTTCTCTCTGCAAAGTCAAGTGTCAAAACATGAAGATCAGCACAGCGATGTCGATCCAGAAAGCAAAGCCTCACTGTGTGTGGCCCTCTATACATCTCCTCTGCTCAGAGTCCACCCATGGATGTTCTCAGCTGGCCAAAGTCACGCCCCCTCGCACAAGAGAGCTCACAGCAAAACGTCACGTGCCCTCTCCCAAGCCAGCCTACAGCAAAACATCACATGCTCAGATTGCAG